GTGGTTGGGGCACTGGATAAAGCATCAAGTTTCATCGTAGTACTGCCCCAGTATTCAGTCTATACTTGCTAAAAGAATATCTGAATTTTACCTGTGAGAGACTAGTCCAGTTGTCACAGTTGACGATGTTGACATCACATTCTTTCCTGCTACTTCAATAGCATCACATATTCTGCCTAATGAGCACAAAAGGAAAGTTGAACTTTAATTATTCATATTAATAAAGGAAGGAAGTTAATCCTTCCGTCACCGCTTAATCTCGCATTTTGGCAGCTCGTGAAAGTGGTGCATAGATAAGGGGATACCATAGGTATCTCGTAAAAACTGTGGACTGTGTGTTTCCACTAGAAATAGAACTCTTGATCTGCACTAAAAAAATAGTGTTGTTTGGTCCAAATACACTATTGCTTGTTGTCATTGACACTTGTCATCCATATAAACATGTAGAGATAAAATTTGTGACAAATATTATGCACCAAGGTTCTACAAAAATGTTATCCTACGTACATAAATGTGCGGTTAAGTAGGCACCTTTTGACGTGTTCTATAGAAAAGGCAGTTTGATAGACTTTTAGTAATATATGGTTAAAGGCAGGTTATATATGGTTTTGGCTAACTTATGATGTTAGCACATTACAATTTTGCTAAAATTTTGTGGTAGATGAGTTTAACTCAAGAAGAAAAGGATGATGCCATATGGCCTGATGAAAAAGAGACTTTGTTTTTTACTGTGCTATATGAAAGAGTAAAAAAAGATCCAACCGGGAATCCAACATTTAAGGGTCGAGACTGGAATGATATGGATAATGAGATGTTGGTCCGAGGTCATTATCAATATGGTAGTGACAGGTTACGGGGAAAGTACAATAGGATGAAGCTCATACATAGACAATTTGGTCAGTTATTGGCTCATACTGGAGTTACATATGATTCCAGTCGGAATGTTGTTCATGCCACGGAGGAATGTTGGCAGAAATTTTACAAGGTGAATGTTTAATTTAATGACTTTATGGCAATTGATTCATATTTAATTTTTTTTAAATCATATATTACTCAACCATTTAATTGAGATATGTGTACTACTAATATGCAGATGAACAGGGGCTTTAAGAGTTTTAAGAGGAAGGGTTGCAAGAACTATCCGTTAATGAATCTTGTTTTTGGACAAGGGAGTGCAAGTGGAGGACTTGCTACTCCTTCCACCCAAGTAGCGACAAACTCGGATGAAGAAAGAAGGAATGAGGACGTATTCTTACATGGAGTACGAGGAAGATGATATGATAGTTAACACGGAGGCAAGTACAAGTGAAAATGAATCACTCGAATTTGATGTCTCAACAACAACAAATGCACGAAATTTGAGAAAGTATTGCAAATGCAATATGGGATGATTATAATGTTTGAGATGTCGAAGTACAACTGTTATTCTGATGAACATGTCACTCTTATTGAACTTTCAGTGTTGGGGAACATTTATGTTATTTTTTGTTATTTCAAATGTCCCTTTAAATGTACATTTCTTTTTCGAAATATTAAGTCAACGCTGTCTGGTAAAAATGAAATAAAAATTGAAAACTTCTGGTAAACATGTTTTCTGAATTGGAAAACAAAAAACTGGAAAATGAAAACAGAAAACTGAAGGCTTGAAAACAGAAAATGAAAATAGAAAAATATTTCTGTTAGTAAACGGGCCCTAATATTTTTCTTTCGTTAAGTGTAATTATATCATATAGGATTTGCTTAAATATGAGAGTCTTAATATGTTGTTATGTCTATGAATGATGAATTTGGGTGTATAAAGTGTGTATATTAATGTGTACTCATCAATTATTGTCATGTATTGTTATTAAATATGGATTTCTTCAACTTCCCAATAGTGTGTCATTGGGGAGGGAAATTATTTGAAGAAGCGGGGGGGATAATCTATGAAGGTGGTAGGAGACGGATTGTAGTTATTTCTCGTGACACATGTATGCTAGAGATGCTGCCAAAAATATGTGCAACTACACAGATTCCTCCGAGCCATTCTTTGCAAGTGCGGGTGAAATATCCACTTCACGGGGATCATACATGCTTATGTCACTTGATGATGAGGAAGTTTTCATGGGAATGTGGATGATAGTTCAGATGATGACTATGTTCACAATGGAGATATACATTGCAGATTCCATATGTGACGCTTCTATAACTCCGTCAACATAAAATGTTGTTGTATCTGGGAATGATCTTAATGCAGCGGCCTCCTCAAATGAGGCTGTTTTTGACATGGTTGTAGAGGAGGATGAGAGTTATTTGCACAATGGTGCATCCTTTTTGCGCAAGGAGGTGAGGAGTGGTTTGGAGGAGCCCTTTACGCACCATAGGCTATGTATGCGCCATCTTGCATCGAATGTGCACACCCATTTTAAATACATTCACTTGAAAAATATGTTTGTTTAGACCGCAAGGCAACATTAGAAAAAGAAATTTGATGGTGGGTTCAACATGATAGATGAAATGCGGGTGGAGACACAACAATTTCTGGGGAACATTCCTTTGAAAATGTGGTCATTACACCATGATGGGGGTTACATATATGGTACCACAACTTCGTATATGACTTAGGTTTTCAACAGTGTGATGAAAAGTATCTAATACTTGCCCATCATAGTTTTGGTTCAGGTTTCCTTATACCGCGTCATTTTGTGGATAGACATGAAAGTAGTAAAAGAAGAGTGACAGAAGGCCACAAGTACTCGCCACACATAACATATATCATTGAGAAGAATAAGGACAAGGCGGAACAGCACACTGTCACTGCATTTGATATAGGCCGAGGGCTATATCAAGTGGAAACGGATGTGGCGGCCGAACGTTGGGAAAGGGTGGGAAAATGAAAACTGTTAATTTATAGAGGCGTACTTGTACTTGTAAGAATGTGGAAATATATAAGATTTCGTGCTCACATGTATTAGCTGTGTGTAGACAATGTAGTTTAGTTTATCATACTTTTGTGGGTCCTTTTTTCTCATCTTTCCAATACGCCGCTTCATATCAAAAAGTTTTTAAACCCATTCCTGACCGTGCTTATTGACCGTCTTACACCGGATCACGATTGTGCATGATCCATCCATGCTTCGTGCAAAGGGGCGACCATAGTTCACACGAATTAAGAATGAGATGGATGAAAGGGGAACTGTTAGATGTGGAATATGTAAACAGTCCGGCCATAATAGGGCCACATATGCGAAGGGATCTTCATGAGAGTGAGGAAAAGAAATTATCATTTAACATGGTCAATGGAAAATGTTTCGATCCCTCAATTTCGCTGAATATTTCAAAAATGACACTCTCCTTTTCAATTTTATGAGTTTCTTTAAAGTTTTTAAAACTGATGGCATGGGGGTACCTCAAAGAATGATAAGAATAGATATTTGACCTTGAAACTCGGTTCATCCTCTTCTTTGACCAGCTGGAGCTCCGTGTCTCTTTCTTCTACTTCCTCTTCTGGATTTTGGATCTCCTTTTGCATTTCCTTCTCATTTGTCAATGTGACTGCAAAAGTTTGCTGTTTAGAATCACATTCTATTTGAGAGGGAAGTTTTTCCGAATCCCTTGCTTCAAGCCTGCTCACGGCTCCGGCTATTTGACTCACTTGAGTTTCCAAGTTTAAAATGCTAGACCTGGTCTCATTTTGGAATTGCACCATGTTGTTTTGCATGGTAGTCATGTTGGTAGCAATAGCCCGAACCATGTCCTCCGTAGACATGTTAGAGTTGGAGAACGGATCATACCTCATGTGAGGTACTTCCCACTGGTAACCAACATCATCAATTTGTTCAAGGTATTCATCTTGGAGCTTTGGGCAAAAATCCGTAAGATGCCTGTGGGATATGCTAATGTTGCATGTCTTGACATCTTGAGCTTTTGAGTTTAATATAAATTCCTTTATTAGAGAAGTCAAGGTGAAAATTTGACTCTCTAAGGATGATGTATTGGTATCCATATACTCATGTAAGCTCATAAAATAGAAGAGTAAGATTTCTTTTTCATTATATTTTTTCTTTTATTATTATTTTTTCTGTAATAAAATAAAAAGAAAAATAATTGCCTTTCCCCGGCAACGGCACCAAATTTGACGAACACTTTGTCACGGTGCGTCAAAATAAATCGATACTAGCACTAATACGTAGTATAGTGAAGTAGAGTTCGTATTAACATGGAAAAGAATAATTCTCTTTTTATAAAACTAGTAAATAAAAGGGGGTTTTGGGATTGAGTGATTTAATTTAATTAAACACGAAGATGAACGACTTATATGTGATTTAATTCAAGAATAAAAAGAACTTGGTTTTGCTACTTTCCACATGTTGATATATTTAGTCGATCATTGTTATATCTATAACTTATCCCCTCTCGAATACTCAATTGAGGAGTATATCCAATTCATCGAGGGTAGTTATTAGCAATGACCGTTCATTAATAACCCTTACTATTAGTCAAGTATAGAACTCCGTCATATACCGACTTGATAGTAGCATTTAATTTTTTTTTTTTTTTTTTTGGGAATACTGTCAAATAGGTCCTCGAACTTTCATAAAAAGGTCAATTAAGTCCTTCTATAGGAGGTTCTGTCCGGCCATCGCGATTTGGGGCAGTTCTCGGTGGAGTTTTTTGATGAAATTTTTTGAGCATCTTATTCACCAAGTCTAGTTTACTCATACCAAATTTCAGCTAAAAATTCAATCGGGAACACATTCAAATTAATTCTTGAAGATAACTGCGCATTTTTGCGTTCTCGAATTAATTTGAATGCGCTCCCGATTAAATTTTTAGCTAAAATTTGGTATGAGTAAACTAGACTTGATGAATAAGATGCTCTAAAAATTTCATCAAAAAATTCTACCGGGAACCGCCCCAAATCGCGATGACCGGACAGAGTCTCCTATAGAAGGACTTAATTGACTTTTTTATGAAAGTTCGAGGACCTATTTGACAGTTTTCCCCCTTTTTTTTTTATCGGCAAAATTCATAGCAAAGACATTAGATGATGCCAATTTTCCCTTCCAGATGACCTGAATCGGAGTAAAACCAAGATACAATCACGTATACAAAGTTCACTTGATCCCACTTCCTTTAAGGCTACTCTACACTCCACCATCCAAGTAAATTATATACCAATGAAAAACATACAATAAACAGCAGCACCCCCTTTCACATTTTGTGGTAAAAAAGCCTCTCCTCTCTTTAATAGCGAGCCAGTTCATTACTGAGCAGGAGCGCAAGGCATGACCAATTGAAGATGAGCATTTTCAGGTTGACGCTTCAGCCCTAAAGCCTTCCTAAATGGCGAAATTACAGTCCTCAAGCAGTGAAACTTCGAAGATCTAGAACTGATGTCTTTATTCCCAGGGTAGCAATTACTTTGCTGGCTGCAAGAGATGCGAGGATCACTAGCATAGAATGGATTTTCAGATGATTTGTCTGATGGGATTGCCAATGCCCAATTTCTTGACGGTGGACCCAATCGACGTATCATCCGAGAATCATTTGAAGAGAATGATCTCTTTAGATGCTTGACACTTCTTGGAAAACAGCCATGATGATCCTTCTCTTGCTGATCTAATGCAAGGATGTCCAAGCCTGTCCAGTCCTTATTATTGATCTTGCCTAGGGTCAAAGCATTCCCATCATTGTCTCTTATGGTTCTCACGGTTGCTTTTGGTTGCTCACAAGAAAGTGAAGTTTGAGAAATAAGCCGAGAGGGGCACTTTTCTCCGACTTTCGTTGAAGCAAAATTGGATATGTCTGACCGGTTGCTTCCCAAGTCATGGGAAAATTCTGGTCTGTGGTGTTCCCTACGCGAGCAACCAAACAGGCCAAAAGACAGTTTTTTTGCTAAGGAGCGGTTTTGTGAAAAGTCACCACTCACGAGATTGATTCTTATCTCTACATTGCAGCAGAGAGTCTGCTGAAGTGCGTGAGCTATCGATTTCCATGACTTCTCAGCGGTTGATACATGATACATGAAGTGCGTGAGCTATCGATAGTAGCATTTAATCTCTTAACTCCTTGATGAAATCAATTGAGATTGATAACATCAACACAACGGTTTCGGTTTAACCAACAAATTAACCCCTCTTAAGTTTATTAACCATGACCGTGCATTAATAAACCGAAGTTACTTACTTGTGAAACCATCAACGATTAACCATCGGTTCATTGATTGTTTCTAGTAGTAATTAATGTCGAGATGTTAACTAATTGTCATCTTAGCAACACTAACCAACATTAATATAGAGACAGATTAAAGGAAGAATTAATATTCAAGGGAAGAAGTTAAGAAAATAACTCACCACTTTAATAATCAACAAGCTTCAAGAGCAACACCAAGAAATGGAAGTTTAGCTCCTCATTTGGAGGCTAAACATGCTATAAAAATATAAGAAATAACTATTCTAAATTGAGCTTAAGAGTATGGAAGGAGTGATTATTTGTGAAGGAAAAGTGTGCTATTTATAGGTGTTTTTCAACACCTTGGGCCAGGAACCCGACCGGGTTAGGTACCTACCTGACCGGGTCCGGTCAAAATCAGATATCATCCACGTTCTGGTGATCTTCGGCATGTCGTTTTGTCCCGGGTCAAGTCAGACCCGACCGGGTCAATTAGGGGACCCGACCAGGTCTTGAAGTTTCGGGTGATTCTTCGGATTTTACATCAGACTAGACCGGGTCAAGTAGAGGACCCGACCGGGTCCAGTGATTTCATGTGATGCTTCAGTTGTTAAATCAGACCCGACCGGGTGAAGTCTTCTACCCGGTCGGGTATTTGCTCCTCGACAGTCAAAATTCCTTTTTCTTCACTTCAAAGTCCTCCTCTTCAACACCATAATTCCTAATTCTATTTTACAACTTACAAATGAAGATTAAAATACAATTACAACTAAAATCACACAAATGTTTACAAACTAAATAAAACGGTAAACAACCCACACAAATCAAACACAAAAACATACATTTATGCACTACTAATTAGTGCATATCAACTCTGAGAGTGAAGGTCAGATTTCAGTTACAAAAAAGGTACTGCCATAACTTTTGCATTTTTCTACTATTGATTACGATGTAGTTAATAACAATATTTTCATCAGTTTCTATTTGTTTATTTATGCTGTTTCAGAGAAAAAGCATGCACCAGAGAGGGTTGGGAAGAAAATGTAAATTCATTCCACCAGCATCTGTGACCAAGTTATATGGAATGAACAGCAATCAGCATTAGTTGGAAATGCACCACTAAAATCTCTATCAACTGCCATGTAAGTTCCTCAACAAGGTTATTTTTAATTATTTATATCATGATTTTTATATACATTTGATTGAGTTAGGTAAGCTAAAAATTAGGTTTGTCATTCCAGCCAACAATAGAGAACGACAAATGGAGGTTGGTCATGGAGATGTTGATTTTGGAGAAGGTATGCAAGTAATTTTTAGCGTATTTTGCATTTTTATATATAATGAGAATTAGAATTTTTATATTTTAAAATTACAATGCACACATCCACGATTTAGAGAATGAGGAGCGCTATATTGTAAATGATGAAGATTTTGAAATGGATAGAGGTATACTATGTGTATATTTATAGGCTACTATTTCTTGAAGATATATTTTCGTTATGCAGTTTTATTTAATTCACTCCCTCCGTAACATTTATATCTTCCCACTTTCCTTTTTTGGATGTAACATTCATATCTTCCCATTTCATAATCTTCCAATCATACCCTCAATAATTTTAAAAATAATACACTATTACACCTACTTTTTTTGGATTTATCCTTCATTCCAACACATTATTTCACTATCTTCCCATCATACCCTCAATAATTTATATCCCCTTTCACTATTCTTAATCTACCTACTTTTCAAATGTGTTACGGAGGGAGTATCTTCTACAAGCTATGTGACAAAACTACTCTCTACACAGACACACTGACACACTTAACATTCTTGTGACTTTTAATCTTTTTTGCTTAGACGATCAAGAAGATGGTGCCCTTTTAGACATGACTACAAGTTATAACAATGAAGGAGATGCTAATGTGGGAGGAGATGCTAATGTGGAAGGAGATGCCAATGTGGAAGGAGATGTAGTTTTAAGTATAGATTATTTATATTTGGGAAAAGGTGCAAATAGGCCGATGTACTAACAAAAAAAGGTCGAATATAAGCTCTTATTTAGGAGACTCTGTCCGGCCGTCGTCATTTGGGGTGGTTCCCAGTGGAATTTTTTGATGAAATTTTTTGAGCATCTTATTCATCAAGTCTAGTTTAGTCATACCAAATTTCAGCTAAAACTTCAATCAGGAAGGCATTCAAATGAATTCTTGAAGATAACTGCGCGGTTATTTTCAAGAATTCATTTGAATGCCTTCCCGATTGAAGTTTTAGCTGAAATTTGGTATGAGTAAACTAGACTTATTGAATAAGATGCTCAAAAATTTTCATCAAAAAATTCCAACTGGAACCACCCCAAATGGCGACGGCCGGACAGAGCCTCCTAAATAAGGGCTTATTTGACCTTTTTTGGTTAGTACATGGGTCTATTTGCACCTTTTCCCTTTATATTTATCGTCTTGTCTAGTCTCATTTGGGAGAGAGATGAATCTATGTACTCATGTGATCCGACTGACTAAAATGGATTGTGGGGAAATATCTCGTGTAGGGCAAAGCTGGGGGGGATCGATTTTTCAACTTTTTAGTTTGAATTTGAGTGAACAAAAAATAATAAAAACACTGAATATGACATTTTCCAGGTTTTAGGTTTGTGTTTATTGCATGTACAGACCTCTGCTTCTCATTTCTAGCTCTCTCTTCTAGAAAATAATGATATATAAAAAGTTGTCAGAAGCAAGGTTGCTCCATTTTGGCAGAAGAATCTGGTTTGAATAACAGTATGATTTATGGATGTACACACCACATTTGTGTCTTAATCAATCGATTTACTTATTAGTAATCATGTTTGATACATTGAGAAGGAGTTTTTGCATTTTTTGGTCCCTCGATTATTATGTCAATGACAGTTTCAATACATGACTTCTGATTTTTCCATTTCTAGTCCTCGATTATAGTGCTAGAGACACTTTTAATCCTCGACTTCAAGTTTTTTTGCATTTAGTCCCCGAGTATTGTCAAATTGACACTTTTAGTTCTCCCATTATGATTTTGACACAATAAATGAAGGACTAAAAATGTCACTATTATAATAGTTGAAGGACCAAAAGTGTCACTTTTATGAAAATTGAAGGACTAACCATGAAAATTTTCAAAGACGAGTACCAAAAGTTTCTCTAGTGCAATAATCAAGGACTAAAAATGGTAAAAATCAAAGTCAAGTACCAAAAGTGTCAATGAGATAATAGTCGGAGGATTAAAAGCGGAAAAAACTCCATCGAGAAGTGTTCTTGAATAAAAAAGTGAATTTGTTCTGATTTTGGCCTCAACTGTAGTAACACATTGGTGCTTTCTATAATACTATATTTTTATTTGTAATATTGTTGTCCTCTTATGAAGGTGTGAAGATCAAGAAGAAAAAAGTTTACTAAACAAATACTCCTAGGGTCTTACGAGAAATCTACAAATGGCAAAAATGAGACTTGGTGAGAGGAAGAAAGTAGATTTTAATATAAAGGGACAACCTATTGGTGTAAATAGAGCTAGCCTAGCGAACTACTGCAGTGTCATTGTTAGAGATACAATCAATGCACGCCTTTATCAGATTGAAGAGTTTTCACAAATACCCGATGAGAAAAAGGATAAGATGTGACAGCTTATTCTGGTATTGATAATTTTAATCTACAGATATAGTACATTGATTGTATTTTGGTTCTTTCATCTTGCTAAGAACTACCAAATTTCTAACGAAAGATTTGATATTGGGCTGGATGATGCCGAAGATGAAGATTCTTATGAAAAGATAAGCGAAAAGAGAAAAGAGACTGATGAAATATTTGAAAAAGAAGTAGAGAAGTTATATATCAAGACTGAAAAGGTATTATTATGATACAGAGGACACAGATGTGGAACGATTAAAGGAAAATAACAGACCACCTTAATTGTGTTGACAAAAAAGACTGGAAGTGGCTTGTGGAGTATTTTGGATCTCCAGAATTTCAAGTAAATATTATTTATTTATGTACATGGGTGAACACTAGAGAAGTTGGTAGCATTCCTTGTTAAATTTGTGGAGAACACTAGAATAACATTCTCTCTAGAAAAACATTCTGACTTTTTGTTTTGCAACTTATATTTAAGGATTTAATCTCGCTAGGTAATGTTTTTAACTTAACTGTAAAAAAGTCTTCTGTTTTGTCCACCCCTAGTGCACATAGGTATTCTGTTTTGCCCTTACTGCCCTCTTTTCATTTTTTGCCTCCATGTTGTTTGTTTTCATATAACAGAAGATGAGTAAACGAAATAATAATAACCGCTCATGTCAAGATGCTGGACACACCGTTGGTACAAAGAGTTTTGCTCAAGTTATTCATGAAGTGGTACTACTTGTTTATGTGTTGTGAGTCATTTCATTTATATCCCAACATACGGGAAGCATATGAGATAACCCATACCAAAATTGATAAGACACCAGTGAATAATGTTGCAAAGAAAACTATTGTAAGTAAAAAAATTACTTCATGCAATTTTTTATTTATTTTTAATTTCAGCACTTGTATATGATACTTGTTACATATTGAGAAGACTTATACTTGTTACATACTACGTATTAAGTCATGATCAGAAATATTAGACCACAAATATTGAGACCAGAACAAGTAAGAAAAGTTCATACCAGAGATTCAAACCATCATATGTTAAAAACTTTGATCAACTTATATTTTCCAGAAAAGAGAACCATGTTCTGACTCCTACCTAAATTCACCTTTAATATAGTCAATAGCAAACATCCATCACCAGGAAAAACGCAAATCTAAAAAACAAAACTTAGAGAATATATATAGAGGAAACTTCATGTCCAGCCGGCCTGACGGGAACC